TATGAAGGGTGAACCCAAGTCCTCTCTGCCAGGAGATCACTCGCAACTGGAAAAACAAGGAGACAGTAAGGAAAATTTGGCAGCGCAGGAAGGAGGAGCCGGCGGGAGGGTGTACCCAGACTGACATGGAATAACTGCCAGCTCGCTGCTTTATTTCATGCAAACCTTCCTGGGCTTTCAGGTCTATTTGGGGATCCTAGAGAGGTGCTGGGTGAAAAAATAAGGACGAGATGGAGAAAGAAACGGTAGACAAGGAGGGACTGCATGGCCAGTGAGCTAAGCATCCTGCGCGAGGTGGGACCAGGGCTCTCTGGGGCTCACACATCTCTATTTAGCTCACCTTCAACCCAGCAGCCAAAAAGTGCTGCTTATTTAACCCCTTGGGAAACAGCAGCAGAAGAAATACAGAGCCTATGTGCAAACATCGAGGCACAGAACCTACTCCAATCCAGAACGCATTTTGCTGGTTTTCAGCCCCAGGCTTTGCTTTTGATGCAGCCTCTGCCCACTCACCCCCAGCTTCACCCCACCACTCTCACCTGTGGACCCAGCCAGGCCAGCCCTGGTCCTGGGCATAGTTTTTGGAAGCATCCTCCTCCATGTGTCAGTCTCCACACGGTGCCTGCAGGTAGGCAGAGATCCCCACCAAGGCTGTGCCTCTCGCCCTCCTCGCCACAGGCAGGGATGCTGTCTGCAGCCCGCATCCGGCTCCTCCTGCTGCTCCCCTTGCTCCAGCCCTGCACCGACAGCCCAGCCAGCGCACACAGGGTGTGCATAGCTCCACACAGCCTGGGAAAAGGGGGCTGAGCTCTGGGTACCCCACCGTAAGCTCCTCCAAGACCCTGGGAGTGAGCCAGGCTGGTGTGGCTGTCTTCGCGTGGCCAATGCTGGCAGCAGCTCTCTGGGGTGGGATGATGCTTCACGGTGCTCTTCCACACATGGTGCCCCGCGGCTGGCATGCTGGCACTGAGAAATCGTTGCCTTTTCGTCAGGGACTTTGTCAACTCCGTCCCAATCCCCTGCACGAAGCCCTCTAGCAGCTCTCCTCTTGCCTTGTTAAGGACCTTTTGTAAAGATGGTCCATAGTGGTGCCCAGTCCCAGAGGGTTCCAGCAGCTGATACAGAGCCGAAGTGGCAGGGGTGCCCAGGGATGCTCCACTTGAGCAAAGTCAGAGACGGCTCCTCACACCCAGTACCACTTTCGCCACTGAATTTCTCAGCCCGTGCAAACCTCTGGCAGCTCTGCCCTATCTGTGACTGGAGATGGAGAAAGCAATGTCCCTTCCACTCCCATCTGCCAATGCATTAAGAAAACGAGAGCTGATTAAAGTCCATCCCCACCTGAACACCATTGGTCCTGGGCAAATTGCTGACACAACCAATTTAGTAGCATCAGCAAGTAGGTGGACTTTCTTCCCTCTGCAGACACCCAGATTTAGATGGGTTCACGGTTGTTTGGGTCTGCTGCTCTGATGATAGTCAAAAGAAGTGGTTTAATTGCACAGAACAAGTGTGTAAATTGGATTACTTATTTTCTATCGCCTGTTTAAAGGTTGGCTCAGCCAGTGTCTCTCCTTGCGGACCTGCTCCTCCACTGCACAATGTGGGAAGGGGATGGGATGGGATGGGATGGGATGGGATGGGATGGAGCTCAGCAGAAAGGGCTCCTATGTGCCCAGACCACCCCAGGGCTTCTGAAGCACCAAATCTCTCCTGTTTTTCGAGGCAGGCAAGCTGGGAAGCCCCATTTCTCTCCCACTAATCTCCACCTGCGAGCACGTTCTAGGAGGCAGCAAAGAACACTAAAACTGGGGAGATTTGCAAAATAAACAGTGATCAAATGCAAAGACCTTGTTTCCTGCTATGGAGGGTGCCTGCCAAGACTCACAGATCATATCAGGCTAATTTACAAAAGGAAAACCACCCTAATTAGTGTTCAGGAAAGCACTTTAATGGGAAGCGCTTTAGTGTAAAAAGAGAGAGCGCCAAGAGGTCAAGTTGTTCCTAAACACCAGAAAAACAGGAAATGAGGCAGAGTTGCTCTCTGCCCGCCCAGGCCATGGCACTGTTTTCTCGCTTTTTAAATAATATTTCAGGTTATTTATGAGGAATTTATAAAGCCCAGGTCCTCGTGCCCAGGGGCAGGGCAGTGACACTGGGCTCTCAGTGTGCTCTGAGCATCCCAGTGTGGCCAGCTCACCCTGGGGAGGGCTGGGCAGCCCTGCCAGAGGTCTCCCCTGCTTTTGGGGCACGGTGTAGGTTTTATGGCTGGAGTTTCCCCTTGGGAAGGGGCGACCAGAAGCCCTGTCAATGCTACGAATCCCCTCTCGCCAGCGGCTGTGACGGCAGCTGGTAACCATGGCAGCGGGGAGATTTTTCACGTGATATTGGCATTTCTGCAGCACAAAAGAGCCTCTTATCTAGAAGGAGTAACTAGTCTGGCTGGTCTTCATTCCTCCAGTTAGTGCTAGGACAAGAGTGGCATGGCACTGCCCACGGGATGCTCACCGTGGGGTGAATCTGGACCGTCCACGGTGAGACACACGATACATGGGAGGTTCTGGGATGCAAAGGGACGCTGGCACAGGGGCTGATGGTGCGGTGTGGAGGCAGAGCCGGGCACTGCTCCTGGGCTGTTGCAGCTGGAAGGGCAGTGGTGGCTGTCCTGGTGAGCTCAAGCTTGCAAAGAGGGCACCTGTGAAATGTCTGAAGCACGCTGGGCCATGCTGTCCCCTGGATGTCACAGTCCATGGTGGCAGGGATGTCCCCTGGCCCCCAGATGGCATCTCCACAACCTGATCTGTGTCACTTTTCCAGTTGTTTACACATCTCCCCAAATGCCTTCCAATTTATCCAAGAAAAAGGGTTTTAGACTTCAACTGATCAGCTTCCAGCTCTTCTCATGCATCAAGTGACTTCTAAAAGCAGAAAAAAAATGCATGAAATAACATAAGCCTAGGTATCTAGGCTTTCCTTCTTCAGATGACTCAAACCCAACCCACTGGATATTGCTCAGCTCTCCCTAAGACGTTCACCCTAGGGCATGAACCAAAGTTGGAAAATTTCATCCCAAAATAAGAATGCGGAAACAATGAGAAAAGGAAAAATGTCATCCAGCCCCAGCTAAGCCTAAGCTGCTGCTAATAAACACTGGCGAGGGCACACGTTGGCTTGTGTCCTTTTGTGCCACCCCTTCCCTGAGTGTGGTCTGGCCTTTTTTCCAGAGTGTTAACTCCATTGCTGCACTTAAAAGGAGCTGTGTGTTCAGAGCAGAGAAAACCAGGCTCTTATTGGCTCCATTTTAGAGGAAGGTAAAAGGGATTCAGGGGGATTTAATTGCAACCGTGGACTCAAAGCAGATGTACAGAACAGAAAAAATATATATAGGCAGAAAAAGTGGTTTACAGACTGTTCCCAGAATCAGGACCAAGTCCTGCTGGTCAAGGTCTCCAGGTTTCCAGGTTAAGTGCTTAATTTTATTTCAGGCTTTCTAATTAAACACCATTTAACTAGGTTTTCCATTTATCTTGCAATTTCTCTCTAGACCAGAGTCTAATCCCCAAACCTGCTTATGTTTTTACTTTCGTTATAACCTTATCAGTGATTAACCTGCAATTGCACTTAATCTTTTTAAAAGATTGCTCCGACTAGAAATACAGAGAAGCTACCTGCCCTGTTTCTATCCAGAGGAGAACAGATTGCTCCACAGTCAGGTGACTGTGGCGGGTTATATTATTCCTTTTGTAAGTTGATTTTTTTAATGAGACATGTTTGTCTTCTCTAACTTCATACAAAACATTAAATCAGTATCACTTTTCTGAAAGACATAACAGCAGAGGCAATAAGGAACATGAACACCTCTCCAGTATGAAAAGTATATATCTCTCTCTATTAAAAAGGCTGTAATTATATATTAAAACATTATGTATAAAGCCTCCAGTAAAGATGCTACTTGTGATAGTGATGCAAAAAACCACATTCATACAGATCCAACAACAGCAAGCTCTGCTGCTTCCTTCAACAGCTATATATTCCAATTCTTTCAATCAAAAGCAGCAACAGCTAAAATATCGTTGCAAGAAAACCTGGTTTCTATGGATATGCACCTCTGAGAAATCCATTAATCAGAAATATGTCAGGAGGAAGACTGCAACGCAGAATTTCCAGGGTGCTGGACTGGCAATAAGCAACTGCCCAGCAAGATCCCCCAAATACTGCATTATATTATTAGAGGATTCCATATTGGATTGAGCCAATGCTTAAGGACATCAAAGCAGAATGAGCAAAAGCTAATAAGAAATGCAGTAAAGGTACACAGAGCGTTACCAAATCCATCAGGAACATTACAAGGGCAGTGGAAGAAACAGAACTGTGGGAAGTGCGTGCTGCAAGATATTTAATAGGAACAAATAGCAAAGGGAGCCCATTCCAAATACAGCAAAACTGATAAATTAATGGAATTACAGAATTCTGCAGAAAGCCAATATATGGCAACTCTCAAAACAAGAGGCATTGAACAAGTTGCCCATCTCTTAGCTGACCTCTCGTTTCTAAATAGTCCTGCACAGCAAATAGATCTGAGCTCAACTCTCCTACCCAGCCTGTAAGCCCAACCCTACTTTGACCTTAATTATTACCTGGAGAATAATCTCTCCAAAGAACTAAAGCCATAAACAGATCGCAGAGGAGGATAATTTAAAATTTCCATGCGGTTCCAGAATTACCAGTTATGTATCCATCACCATCTAATGCTGCATCTTGAAAACTTAAGATCTTCATGCAAGTATTAACTATTTAATAAAGCGTTTACCCCTCCTTCTGGTGATTAAAAATATACCACAATTCTACTGGTAGTATTATGTGACCTCTGAGCCTCTAAAAAAGTTTATTGGAAAATTGGTGGGGACTTTCCTGGCTTTATCAGTGCATCAGTGAGCAAAAAGATGGAAAGCAACTGGAATTTTGAAATAATTCCACAGTAAATGAAGGGTAATCTGCATGGTATTTATTGTAGATATAGTGAGTTACGAAAGCCATTACAGCCCACTGTTTATTTAAACATTTTTTCTAAACCATGTCAAATCGTAGAAGCAAATCTGAACCCCAGTTTGACTTTTACAAGTTTCCTGGTTTGATTATATAAATATTTATATAGTGGGGGAAAAAAAAACAAAACAAAACAGACTTCGTACTCCCCACCAAAACCTTCTGCGCAGCAGGAAACCACTTGCAAGGGATGAGAAGTATTTAGGGAGGTATGGGTGAGTCCAGGTTTTCCCCTGCACCATTTAGGGCAGTGGTGGCTTCAGACCCTCCTGTGGCTCATTTAAATTTGTTTAAAAGAGAGCAAGGCATGGTTAATTAACACTAACATATATCCTGGCTTTTTCTGCCACAGAAAGCCATCGAGTTTGCAAGAGAGTGAAAAAATGCAACAAAATCAGAAGCCCCCGTCAGTGGTGAAGATGAGCCCCAGGGTGCTGATGGAAAGAGGGATGACCCACGTAGAGGGGCTGACACCTGCCGTGAAGAGCCCAGCTCCGCTCACAGGATCTGCTGAACACCTCAGAAGTTCCTTGGCTGTGGCTGCTCCCTTTGGCAAAACCTGCCCCAGCTTTTCCTCCTGAGGATGGAAACCGGCTCTTCTGGATGGAGCAAGTGGTGCTGGTGTGACCCGGCCAGCAAAATCCATGGAGAGGGTCTGCGTCATCTCACCCAGCACCATCTCACCCGCTGCTGCTTGCCACCTCTCAGCTCACCAGCAGCTCGCTCCCATGGACACTGGGTTCGAGGAGGAGGCAAGGAGCTGGTGATGCTGGAGGAAGACTCAACACCTGGAGCCATCAGCTGGGCATGCTGGCTGTTGAGAAGGTGTTTGGCTTCCCATCCCTGCACAACTGGGAGTGGGCTTTCACTTTCACAAGAGCCCCGTCTCACAGTGATGAGCGAAACCAGAGTGGCTTCTCCATAAGAAACATGGCAAAGAGCCAAGTGACTGAAAGCAGCTGGAAATGGCTGCTGGAAATGTAGCAGATCACTGAGGTCCAGCAATGAGCGCAGGTGACCATCTGCACACTCATGCACGCTTGCTTATGCACTACAGGCTCTGGCCTGACTGCCATGGTGGCTGGGAGAGGAGAGCCCTTACTGCATTTCTCTTTCCGATTCCAGCTCTAAACCAGCACAGCTTCTCCCTTCCTGCAGTTGGTTTATCCCTCCAGCAGCGGCAGGTTGGTGCATCCATGGAAGCCCAGGGCTGGAAGGGGTCTCCAGGAACATCTCCTCACCCAGGATTGTGCTTCTCCATCCTTGACAGATGCTCATCAAATCTCTCTGTAAGAGCCACCAGTGATGGAGAGCCCACTACCACTCTGGAGTGGATGGCTGAGAGGAGCTCCTCTTCCCAGCAGCAAACCCAGGGTGGTCTTGGCACCATGCAGGGACCCTCAAAGTGTCTCGCAGTCCGTGCACACTGAGATGGACCTCGACCTTCTCGGGACAGCGCGATGCAATCTGTGCTCGGCTTGTGAGCATAGTCCACATCCTTTTTGGATGAATCACTCTCCAGTTACTGCTAACAACCTTGAGCCCAAGAGGGACTTTTGAGAAACCTTTTTTTTCCTCTTTCCCCTGGTTGTTTCTGGCCAAGCAGTGACTCAGCTGTCAGAGTTGAATAACTCTTCACGCTTTATCTGAGCACTCATTAAACATCCAGAGCCATATTTCTTCAGGGCTCCCTCTCTGTAAGGCTGGATTTCAAAGCAAGAGGGTTGGCCTGATGTTTAGTGGGAATATTCATAAAGACACTCAATAAAAAGAGATCTCCAGAGCATGGAAACCTTGTATAATTCTGGTTCATATAGCAGTGGGTTTTATCAACAGTGGGTGAAGGTCTAGGCAGAAAAGAAAGGCTGGTCCTAACAGCAGCATGTAGCGAAGCCTACAGCCACTGCATGGAAATTGTTAACGACAAAAAGCTTCTACCCTAGGTGTTTGCCTGACTCCTAGTCCTGCCCCAGGACCTGCTTGTTTTTCATTTCTCTTCTTTTTCGTCTTCTTTCTCTGAAATCTCAGCAGCAAGGATTTCTTCATCCTCTTGCACCGTGGGAATCACACGAATGGTGACTAAACTGTCAGAAGATTTTGAGAATATTTCTTCTCCCAGATGGGTGCTTGCTTTGTGGGAGGTGACAGGTGATCTCCGGTGCACCGGTGATTTCGGTGGGATCGGACTGAAAGCGGAATCCTGCAATCCAAAAAAACAAAAAGGCAAAATCAAGCTGAGGAGACCTTTGTCCACTACCCCCAACCAGTGTCTGCAGTATGCAAAGCCAGTTGGGTGTTTTGTGAAGTTTCACCACACTGGACCTCATCAGGACCTGCCAAAGATGACCCCTGTGAGGAGGCAGCTGGATTATACCTTGCACATCTTGAGAGAAGTGCGTAGCGATGAGTGCAATGGAGCTTTCTCACCCCTCCTGCACTAGCTTCTGATTTGCTCCTGAAGCATCTGTAGGGGTGGTGTGGGCAAAGGCTTGGCAGAGGTGATGCTGTGAGGGAGCAGCCCCAGACTGCCCTGACCTATAGCCTCCTTTGGAGAGGAGACTCAGGAAGCTCACCTACAGTCATGCCATGGACAAAGATGCCCTTCTAACGGGGTCCTGCTAACCCCATGAGCGGGGTTAGCACCTCATTCATGCACCCTCCAGTGATGGGTCTTGTTGCCGCTACCAGCTGGAACACAGTATACCACTCTTCCCTACTGCTTTTAACTGGTTATTAGCGTTAAGCCCCGCATGGTGGGAAGGCTCATTGTGCTTCTGTGAAGGACTGCAGAGATGCAGTTATGCTCAGCGTCTCCCTGGATATTTACTCAGCCTCAAGGCCACCACACACTCCCTATCAGCTGCTCTTTCACCTCCCGTTACATGTCCAGACATGATAGTCTGCATAACTCCATGCTGGGAAGAGTAACAACAAGGTCTGCACCCTTTTTTACCTGCTCAGCAGAGATACTTGGAAGGAAAAAAAAAAAAAAAAAAGAGCAGAGTAATTTTCTTTTTCAGTTGCTCATGATAAAAAATCAAGGGCTACTTCATTGCAGCTCACACAGAGCTGGCAGGATGGCGTGCCTGCTGGGGGGGGTCTCTGCCACAACCATGACATGAAAGCTTTGGAAATATTGACTGGGCTGTGGCTGCTGGATCCCAGCAGCTCCCCCCGCCCCCGCTGTCCCCGTCCCACCAGCACATCAATTAATTACAAGTGGCTCTGTCTCTGTGGCACGAAGACATGTTCATCTGTGGCTATAGCCCAGCTAGAAACTAGACTTGGGTTTAGCATAGCTGGGCAAAAAAATCAATGTATTCCCCTTTTGTGTTGCACAACAAATCCCTGTGGGACAATGATGTTCTCTCAAGGCTACGTGTAAGAAGCTGGACAACCCCTCCCCATCTGCCCACACTAGGTCATACCCCGATGACCCAAGCTCACTCCTTTGAGCTACCTAAATGGCAGTCTTTGGAACTGGTTGGGGAGACCTGCAACTCTGCATCTAATGTAGCAAAGCCAAACTGCCATCCTCCCCGCACTGACCTGCATCGCCTGCATCGCCTTCAGCTCCTTCAGCCTCCACCGGAGTTGGGCCAGTGGCCCCTTGCCCCCCATCCTCCCCGTGGCAGCCAGGGCAGCCTGGAAGAGCTTTGGGGTGTCAGCTTTCGGAGGGATGATCAGGGAATCTCCAGGGGCTCCTTTTTCATCTTTGGGTTTATTGTTGTTTTTCAGCATTTTCCTACAGGAAGGAAAAGGAGAGAGTCCGGGGACATGTTATGTTAGATGGATTTTATAATGCAGAAAAATCAGACTTTAAAGGACAGGGATTTTTTACACCTTAGGAAGGACAGAATAACAAATCTAAGTAATGATAAAAAACTAAAGCGAGTATTTTAGTAGAAATCAGCAGAAATTTAGCAGAAAGCAGCAGCCCAACACGCACTTGGCCTTTTTACGCAGCAGCTTCTGAGACTCTGGATAATGCACCAAAATCTCATTCAGGTCCTTCTTATCCAGAATGAAGAGGTTGGCGAAGCCGTGAGCCACGACGTTTGCTGTTCGGCGATTGCCCCCTCCTGCTGCCAGCAAGCTGAGGGACACACAACAAGACGTTAACGCTGTTATTAATGGGATCAGCACAACACTTGTCATTTAGAATCTCCCTTTTCCCATTGTGTCCCCTCATGTCTCTCTTTCAGAGGCCTTACAGTTTAATTTTCACTCCCAATCAAATTATCCAAGCCCAATTTTTAAAGAATGCTGGGAAATGCTGACATGGCATGCTATATTATCATAGAATCATGGAAACATAGAATGGTTTGGGTTGGAAGGGACCTCAAAGATCATCTAGTTCCAACCCCCCTGCCCTGGGCAGGGACACCTCCCACCAGACCAGGTTGCTCCAAGCCCCATCCAGCCTGGCCTTTAACACTTCCAGGGGCAGCCACAGCTTCTCTGGGCAACCTGTTCCAGTGTCTCACCACCCTCATAGTAAAAAATTTCTTCCCGAGATCTAATCTGAATCTTTTTTCTTCCAACTTAAAACCGTTTCCCCTTGTCCTATCATTACACCTGCTGGCAAAGAGTCCCTCCCCAGCTCTTCTATAGGCACCCTTCAGGTATTGAAAGGCCGCTATAAGGTCTCCCTGGAGCCTTCTCTTCTCCAGGCTGAACAATCCCAGCTCCCTCAGCCTGTCTTCATAGGAGAGGTGCTCCATCCCTCTGATCATCTTCGTGGCAAATTAAAAAAATTAAAAATTATTTGCCTGTTTGAAGGTTTAAAGGTTGCATTTTACAGACACTAGTCTAGTGTCTGACGGGCTGTAGGGGTGCAAACTCTCTCACTGTGTTATGAATTGGTCCAGGACTTTACCTGCCTGTGAAATGGGCAGATTAATGGCTGGGGGACTGTTTTATTTCTTATTCATTGTCCCATCGCTCACACACCTCTGCTCACTGTCACTAACTCCCCAGGCAGAAAACAGCACGATGACCAAAATAGTGGGAAAGCTCCAAGAAAAACGCTGTAATTTGGGTAGCAGACACCGCTAAGTGTTCGTGGCTTTTCAATCACAAAGATTAATTAGGGTGTTGCTGATCTCCCCACTTCCCACCCAGAGTCCCTCAGCTCTATTTTCCTGGCTCCTCACCTTATTTCTCCAAACACAGATCCAGCTTTCAGAGTCACTAGCACAGTTTTGCCGTCGGGTCCTCCCAGCACCTGCACTTGTCCCGCTTGGATGATGTACATCTCACGGCCGATTTCTCCCTGCAGTGAAGGTGGGTGCTGTGAGGGGTGCCCAGAAACAGGGAGACCTTCTGGATGCCCTAACCTGCATCTTGTTGGAAGCCCTCATGACCATACTGCCCTCTCCAAGCTCTCTAAACACTTTGTCCTGACAGTTCTTACTCCCCCGCATTCTCATCTGAGCATCCCAAAGTCTCCTCCAGCAGACACCTCTCCTGCTGTTCGTGGCTGGAGCAGAAGAGGTCAGTCTCTGCACAAGACCCACAGCAAACCAGGATGGTTTTGCTCTGAATTCCCTCCCTGTGAAGTGCCTGGGTGCCAGGGATGGGCCAGGCTTGGCTTTCCCCGTCCTGCTTTGCTTCTAGTGCCCTGCAGAGCCCCGCAATGACACTGGGGATGGGAAGGCACCCGAGCACCTCATTACCTTCTTACACACGTAGTCATTAGGCAGGTAGACTACAGATCTGAGCCGCTTCAACATGTCGAAGATCATCTGCCTGTCGCAGCCCTGAGCCAAAACAGAGCCAACAGGGCCGTTAGTCTGTGCCAGGATAGCAGGCTCCACCAGCCAGGACCCACCTGGCAAAGGGTACCTGGAAGAGGGCCACTTTGCTCACGATGTTGTAGTTCACGTCGATGGCAATGTCCAGCCTCATCTTGTCCGGCAGCTGCACCAGCAACTCTGACTCATCTGTGAGACAAAGCAGAAAACTGGCTGCTTCCAGCACTTGATCCAAGACTGTGTCCTTGGTTGTGCCAGTGGGACGGCAGCCTGCATTCTGGTGGCAGAGGGCAGGAGCCAGCTCACCCAGAAGGGTCTCCTCCAGCCTCTCCCCACCCAGCAACCCTCAGGTCTAAAGCCCATGAGTGATGGAGAGCTGCCCTTTGCCCTGATGGCTCTCAGAGATGGACCAAGCGAGCCCAAGCCAGCACTTTTCTTGGCCAGGAGAGCAGGCACAGAGGTCCTGCCTGATGATTGACTGGTAGGGTGAGCTGGTGGACACTCTGGCCAGCTATTGCCAGACACTGCCCTCTCCCCAGGGACCAGGGGGTGGGATGCTGAGCTCAGGCTGCTGTGAGCGATGCTGGGCCACCACGGTGCTGCAACCTAGTGGCAGCCTATAAACTCTATAGGTGGACAAACAAGCCTGTATAGTGATGAGTAAAATAAGCCACACA